ATGCATCATTAGGCCTTCCTTCTGATGTGCCTCCAGGTGGACTCACACCTTCAACCTTTTCATTAGCCAACCTGGCCAATAAACACATATGGAGTTAATTGAAGGGCGGAGAAATAAATGACTCAATGAGCCTCGCCTTTTAGTTCTTGGGTCTTTTGCTTTGTGATGATCAGACCAGGGTGCAGCTGCCTTAGCCAGTTCCCTGCTTCAGCTGGCAAGACTCACTTCCTGCAAGACATCCCCAAGGAGAAGCTGCATGGACCTACCCCAATGCAGCCCTGGGTGCTGGGGCAGCCATGTGGAGATCCCTGCCAGCGCTGAGATGTTTACACATTCACTGATTCGGCTTTCCTCCTGCAGTCGGCGGCATTGCATGTGTTTTGTGGGAGGAGGACTTTGTGGATTGGTGTTGGACATATGAGTTAATGTTGGATTTATGGGCTTGGGCAGCATTGGGTTGGGATGTTTTCTTGATGTGCACTTACCCTTTATATAAAACTCTCTCTTATACTTGAGTTTCTGTGAATTTGTTTCTCTAAAGTAGCCAAACTAACACTTAGAAACATGTATTTTCAACACAAGTTAATTCAGTAAAAGCCAGTTTTTTTTACGGTGAATTAGGACAAGCACCAAATGCTTTTTTTTTTTTAATCATTTTATTGGGGGCTCATACAATTATAACAATTCATATATACATCCATTGTGTCAAGCATATTTGTACATTTGTTGCCATCATCATTCTTAAAACATTTGCTTTCTGCTTGAGTCCTTGATATCAGCTCATTTCCCCCGCCCTCCCTGCTCCCCCGTCATTCCTCCCTCCATCACGAACCCTTGATAATTTATAAATTATTATTTTGTCGTATCTTACACTGTCCAACATCTTCCTTCACCCACTTTTGTTGTCCATCCCCCAGGGAGGAGGTTATATGTAGATCCTTGTAATCGGTTCCCCCTTTCTACCCCAACTTCCCTCCACCCACCAGGTATCACCACTCTCAACCACTGGTCCTGAAGGGATCATCTGTCCTGGGTTCCCTGTGTTTCCAGTTCCTATCTGTACCAATGTACATCCTCTCGTCTAGCCAGATTTGTACGGTAGAATTGGGATCATGATAGTGGGGGGAAGAAGCACTTAAGAACTAGAGGAAAGTTGTATGTTTCATCATTGCTACCTTGCACCCTGACTGCCACGTCTCCTCCTTGTGACCTTTCAGTAAGGGGGTGTCCAGTTGCCTACAGATAGGCTTTGGGTCTCCACTCCACATTCACCCTCCTGTAAGACCCCAGATGCTATATCTTTTGATAGCCGGACACCATCAACTTTCTTCACATCTGCTTATGCACACATTTGTCTTCAGCTATCGTGTCGGGAAGGTGTGCATCATGGAATGCCAATTTAAGAGAACAACGTGTTCTTGCATTGAGGAAGTACTTGAGTGGAAGTCCATTGTCCATCTGCTGCCTTAATACTAAACCTATAAATATATGCATGCAGATCTCTTTCCCCCACCATCTTATATAAATATATTTACATATGTACATGCCTGTATTTAGACTTCTATAAATACCCTTTGCCTCCTAGTTCTTTCCTCTTATTTTCTTTTACTTTCCTCTTGTCCCACTATCATGCTCAGCCTTTATTTGGGTTTCACAAGCTCCAAATTCTAAGCACTCTTAAGTTCAGACATCAAACAGTAAAAACCTACTGTGATTCTTAGCCTGTCTATAAATCACACCATTTAAATTCTGTTGCCAAATATTTTCATAGGGCCTTTTGTCCCCTCTCCCTAAATAAGCTCTGCTCTTTTTCCCTTCTAAAGCTCACTGCATAGAAACTAGAATTAACTCAAGACTTCGATTATTACATTTTAAAGCCACCAGTGGGCCAGTATCTGGCTCTGCTTGTCACCTTTCCAGTTGGCACAAAGTAATATTTATTGCCAGCTGGTTAGAGAACCCATGTTGGCTTGGCCCACTGGCAACATAATTAGCAGTTCTAAAAGATCCATTGTTAAAATCTGGACTTCCTTGGGAAATAGTGTTTGGGAGTTTAAATATATCTTTGGCCATTTATTCAAGAACTGAAATGAGTTTGGGGGTTAGAATAGAGACCTGGTTTCTAGTCATAGTTCTGTGGGCCAGGAGGCACATTTTCATGCCTGGGTGACACTTTACCCAGATAAGCAGGTAATGTGTTAATATGAGCCCCCCTCTGCTAGATGTTTGCCTCCATCCCTGATTGTGTTTAGATTTCTTCCCTGCTCTAATTCTTTGATTTGGCCTTCTAAACCGCCGTACTCATAAACTTCAGCTCTGTCTTCCAGATTCGTGATGCCGAAATGTCATCTTCCTTTTCTAACAAACCTCCTGATTATGACCACTGACTTGTTGCTCCTGACCTAACCTCTCCTGTCTTGACTTGTCAGTTTACCATAACTATAATTGTCGCTTGCATTCATTCAGAGCTTTAACATAGTAGGTGCATTGCACTGCACTTCATTTTCATTCGTGTCATGCAGTCCTTACAACTGCCCTACACTGGTAAATATTGTGAAGCCCATTTTATAAATTAGGAGATGGGGACAAAGAGATGAAATACTTAGTAAGTGATGGCATTAGAATTAAAATTTCAGGGTAACTTCAAACTTCATATTCTTGAGCTATGTGCTATATTGCATCTGTGATGATAGCTACAATGTGTTGAGAATCTACTGAGTGGTAGGCAATGACTTTTCTTTCTACCTTTTGTATAATAATCATGTATACCCCCATTTTAGAGTAATAAAAACTGATACAGTAATGAAAACAATCCACTTTTAAATTAATTAGAGACCTGGGTTCCAAGGTGTTAGACATCCTTAAATTGGAGTATTATTTCAATGTATTTTTTCTTCTACTTTCTTTCCTGTTTTAATGATCATCTCATGATGTGTTTCTGACAGCTATCAATATTAACAGAGCCTTGGTGGTGTAGTGTTTACGAGTTGGGCTGTGGTTCCGAATGGTTGGTGGTTCGAAACCACCAAGCAGCCCCACAGGAAATTGGGCTTTCTGCTCCTGTAAACAGATATGGTCTCCGAAACCCACAGAGGGTCACTAAAAGTCAGCATTGACTCGATGGCATTAAGTAAGGCGATGTAGTGGATATGCATGGGGCTGCAATCCAAGTGGTTGGCAGTTCAAAACACCAGCCGCTCCATGGGAGAAAAATGGGGCTTTTTACTCTTGTAAATGGGGATCACTATGAGTCGGCATCAACTTGATGGCAGGCAGTGAGTTTGGTTTTTGGTGTCAGTATTAACAGTTCAAGTATTGCCTTAATTGCCTTAACTCATACTTTTTTTTTTACTGTTACTGTAACATTGTCATGTTCATATTTTTACCTTTCCTATATACAATATATACTTTTTCCCCTCTATATCAAAAGCAGATGACAGGTGCTGGGAGAAAAAAAATGAGAATGTGTAAAGAAAGGCTGAGAAGGTCCACATACTTTGGGGGAATATCAGTTTGGAGAACAATGATTTCTTAAAGCTCTTTTTCTTTTTCGGTAGCTATCTTTTGTTAAAGAAATATTGGACCTTAAGAACTTGATGAAACGAGACACAGGATTTGACTTCGCTGAGTCTTAGTTTTCTCATTTGAAAATAGGGTACATAAATAAAATACCCCTCATAGCACGCAGATAGTTACAGTGACAATTAAATAACCAACTTCACACTCCTTAATCCATAGGAGCTTCAAAAAGCTTGTGAAGAAATTCCATGATCTTTCCATCCCATTTTTCCATGAGCTTTTTGAAGTCTTCTTGGATAGCACTCCAAATTGTTCATTCCCCCTTTTACCATTAGGTGTTAATGAAATAGAGAATTTTTTCCACTTTGATGACAGATCTAGGACTTGTAATATTGAGGTTCCAATTCAGGTAGAGTGTAGCAGGCCTTCTTACAACATAAACAGTGGTTAGTGCATACAGTTGTACCGTGTTGTGTGCTCAGAAAAGTAATTTGGGAGAACTTTTGATTTCATACTTATAGGATTAAAGATTGTAATACAGAGTATGTGGCTAACTGTCTTAATAAGTTTTATGTGGCTTTTCTACATTTTAAAAAGTCTAAGTACACAGGTGCATATACATGTAAAAATTCATCAAGTTGCAGTTTAAAATGTGTGGGCTTAATTATGTAAATTAGTTATATCTTGTTTTTAAAGTTTTTGAAAAGCATTTACAAGAGTTAGATATTCAGTAGTTACATATAATTAGTTAATATTTCAGTGGATTGTGCCTAGCATACAGGACTACTCATTTTTACAGTTTTTTGTTTCACTTGGCTTCAAATTTTTTATTCCCAAAAGTCATATGGTAGCTATTGCAGAACAAGAACTATTGTTTAATACTGTTAAATATTTTGTTCCATGTTTACTACTTAAAATCAGCAAGCAAAATTTAAAAAATCTTTTGTTCTCAAAATATGTATATTCTGCCCAAAAATATTGTTCCTAATATTAATTTCCAATACCTATGGGTTATTTTGTTTTAGATAAACCAGCCACTGTTAGGAAAGATACACGTTTATAACCAGCAAGCTGTGAAATGGCATGTCTTTGAGTGGATTTCTGCTCGCATTAGCTTGCTGTGCGGAATATACGTGTGTGTGTGTGTGTGTGTGTGTGAGAGAGAGAGAGAGAGATTGAGTTTGTGAGTGATTGAGTGTATTCATTTGCCTTTGGTAGACTTGAGAGCACTGTGTCCTCCGTGGCTCTGAGCCTGGAGAGTTCCCACCAGGCTCAGTGTCAGGGAAAGGGGTGTGGATTTTCTGTGCTGCGCCTCTCAGCAGCTAGAATGTGGTTGGCAGTCTCCTCCCCTTCCTGCACTTCAGCTCTACACAGGGTGCACTCTGGAATGACAGGCATTCCTGTGTGAAGAGAGCCAGCGTGAAGACATACTTAAAAGAACCACAAATACCCAGAGCAGGATACCGGGCAGCAGACACTTCAGCAGATTCACTGACCTCGTGCCATTACCTCGCGTCTGGCAGCGGCACGGAGAGAAGACTGCATGTCCTCTTCTTATGTGGATTGATTTTGTAAGGAAGATTTTCTTGTGGCTGGGACAGTTTGTTGTCGTGAGATACATCAGACAATATAATCATGGGGCAAGCTGACGTATCCAGACCGGTAAATCCAGATGCAGTTGGTGAGTAATAGAAGGCAAAGAAACAGAGACTTGACAAAAGCAAGGCAGATTTATAGGTGAAGCTGAGTATCAACTTAGGAATTTGAATGTTAAGGATTGTGATGTTTACACTTTTGGAACGTTTACAACTTGGTGAAGGATGAGTGAAAACTTAGATGATGTTTTTCATTAGGTTTTTATTAATTTCCCACTCGTAGTTTTGCTTTAATTGATCCCTCGAGTTTTTTTAATATGAACCATCTCTTGCAGCCTAAGTGCTACAGAAACGCTTACTTAGAACTAAAACTGTGAACTTCGGAACTTTTGTAAATGGCCATTTTTAAGAATTGACTTAATCTTTTAGACTCATTTTAAACTTTTTACAAATTAAGTCTCATGCTTTTCCATTGTGTTGGCCTTTCCATTTCTCATAAGGCAACACTCAGTATAAACATTTCTGAAGTCGGTGCTTTACATTTGAAGAGTTGTTATCTCAGGGATGGCTAGAGACCAAGATGATCATTGTAAATGTAGCTCAAGAGTTTCAAGGCAAAGTGACGCTTGTCACTGCAAGCTAATTTTCCCAACTTTGTAGGGTTTCACAGAAGATGAAGGATCTTAAATTGGGATTGAACTGTTTGTTCTTTAAAAGATTGCCAAATGCAAGCAAAGTAGGAGGCGGCCAGGATATCATTGGTTGGCATTCTATTACTTTTAAAAACCGAAAACATACCTTCTTTTGATTTATGAAGCAACAGAAAACATGTTCCGTCCTAGACTGCTTTCGGTTCAGAAGTAAAAATGCAGGTGGCTTTATGGAATATTATGTAAGTGGGAAAGCATAGGAGATACTCCCTAATGTCTCCTAATTCTGTGCTATTTAGTATCTAAAGGTCGCCTTTTCATTTGAGAACTTTCCAGAAAAAAATATTCAAAGAATTTTTTTCAAGTTTTACCAGAACGGAGGAACATGGGTCAGAAAGTGAGTCTATCTGCAAGAGACTTTTATGACTGCAGTCAGAGCCCGACTCACTGCTTTGATCAATTTCATAACGAGCTCTTTTTTTAAAGGAAGTATTTTATAAATAGGAAAAGATATAGATAGCGAGAGATACAAAGAACACTAGTGGGCCACTACCCAATTTAAGAAATGAATTTAAAGCCATAGTATTCTAACTCCCCCTACCTCTCTCTCTGTCCTCATTTCCTAGATAGTATGGGTTTTGTTTTTGTTTTTCCCACGCCCCACCCTCCGTGCCCCCTTAGTTTTTGCTCTTAGAAGTAATTACTATAGCTCACTTTTGGACTACCAAATTCTTCTGTTCTTTGTTAACAAGCATAGTAAGGACCCAAACGATACTAAGTATTTATTTATGATCTAGAACTGAAAACGTTTTGAAAACTAATAAATTGTTAAGCAGGTACAGTTTAGTGGTGGATGATGGTATTTCTGAAGAATGCCTATCTCGCATCTGTGTATTATAACATAAATTCACAGTAAATGAAGTTTGATGCTATTTTTTGTGCCTTTTATAAAAGTGAGATAATAAATTCTATCAAGTTTGCCACCTGCCAGGAACTGTAATAAAAGATCTATGATGGAGAAATAGAAATCCGTTGGGTACCTAACTTCAGATTTTTCTATTTTTGCTGGATTTAATATTTGTATTTTATTTCCTATTACCTAGATCGATTATTTAAATGATAAATTATTTATAAATTCAGGATGTAGTCTATTTGAACCTATCAGGATCAGGTCATCATGGTTTAATCTTGAACAACTCCAAGGACTACAACATTGCTTTAAAGGTTTATATGTAACAATTTCCTAATGAAATTATAAAGTATTTCAATGGTTAGGTGTTTGGGAAATCTTGCAGATTCTTTAAAGGATAAATACTTAAAGTGAATTCAAACCTAAGTCATTTATTTGCCATTCTAGGCCTTTAACATAATAGTTTTGGACTTAATATTTGATGGTATTAATTTTTTTAGTGAAGTGATACAAAATGAAAGAACATAATAAATTAGTTTCTTACTCTCTTTAAGCTGCTCTAAATATCATAGAAGATGCTGTGTAGGTATAATTCATGTCTGAGCCTCCCAAAATAACTTATTTCCTAGTTGGAAATACAAATTTAAAATAATGACAAGAAAGAAATACAAATTTACTTTAAAATGTGATACATTATTTTTCTTAAAAAATATTGGTTGGCTCTCTTAGCTTATAATGAAAGGCCATTGCTACTACCAAAAAGAATGCTCTCAAATAAGTCACATTTGCTGAAAGCTTCACAGGCAGGTTTATCAGATGTTAGACCAACATCTAATCAGTGATTTACCATAGGATCTGTCACAACTGGCAAGTGAATCAGGTGTTTAAATGCAGAGTAGGAACTTACACTGTGTTTTCTATTCAAGGACATAAGCAGTTATGCTCATCAGTTCATATAAAAAGTTATTTTTAAGTGAAATGATCCCATAGAAGTCTGTAGGGTTACACAGATGAAATTTTCAAATAATAGTTTGTAGTATTTGATCTACATGAAAGTTGTTTCCATGTTCACTAGAACCCTTTGCTATGAATCATATTTAAACAACCAAAGTAATTAGCACATATCCTGAAATTAGGCACAAGTCCAAAGAATTTTAGTAAGCTCTACCCATCCGTTTAGCCTGAAACTTTCCTTTTTTCTGCCTTTATATTCCCCCACTCTAAAGGAGCACTGGCGACACAGTGGTTGAGTGCTCACCTGTTAACTGAGAAGTTGCCAGTTCAAACCTACCAGCTGTTTCAGGAGAGATTATCATCGTCTACTTTTGTGATTGCAGCCTTGGAAACCCTAAAGAGTCACCGAGTCAGAATTAACTCCATAGTACATAGCAACATTGCCACTCTCTAGCATTCTTCACCCACCCACCTTTATTGTTTTACCTATTAGCCGTGGTTTCCCATTTTTCTTTTATATAGGAATATTTTGCAATAAAAAGCCCCACTGTATTACTATCATTTCCTCTCTTCTGTGTACCTTTTTATCACCATTTGATTTATTTTAATACAAAATTTGTAGTTAATGATTCCTACTCTCGTGGTATTTTTACTAGTTTGAGCCAAAGTGATTAAGAAAAATATCTTAATTCAGAGGGAAAATAAATGAGATTTCTATATGGATAAAATATAACTAAAATAGCAAAATTAAAGCATACCATTAATCAGCACGTCTGAATTGTGCTGGCAAAGATTACCATGGACTGCAAAAAGGACAAACAAATCTGTCTTGGAAGAAATAGCCAGAATGCACCTTAGAGGCAAGGATAGCAAGACTTCTTACTTACTTTGGATATGTTTTCAGAAGAGTCCAGTCCCTAGAGAAGGACATCATGCTTGGTAAAGTAGAGGAGCAGGAAGAAAACAAGAGAAAGACCCTCAACAAGATGGATTGATGTAGCGGCTGCAACAGCGGGATCCAGTATAGGAGCAAGTGTGAGGACTGCACAGGACTGGCAGTGTTTTGTTCTAGTTTCATTCAGTGTTTCATAGCAGAGGGTTGCTGTGAGTTGGAACCAACTCGGTAATGCCTACCAACAACAACCGATTTAGAGATGACTCTCAGAAACCCAACTCACTGACATCACGTTGATTCTGAACTCTTAGCAACCCTGTAAGACAGTAGAACGCCCCTATCAGTTTCTGAGGCTGTAAATCTTTACTGGAGCTGAAAGCCTCATCTTTCTCCTGTGGGGCATGTGGTGGGTTTGAACTGCTGATCTTAGAGTTTGCAGCCCAACTTGTAATCCACTATGCCACTAAGATTCCCTTGAATTAACAGTAAGGTTAATTAAAGATAATTTAAAACAATAAATGCTTTTCTCTGATTTGGAAGAAACAGGCATGCTTTTCCCCATGTAATTCCGGATTTGGAGGGACTATCACTGTAGTCTGTGATGGACCCCTTCAAGGGTCTCCTGTTGTTTTCCAATGCTGAATTGTGGATGACCCTCTGCTCTAGTGGGTGTTCAGACTAGCCTGTGGTGACAACTACTTATTCCTTCTTTCGATTTACAGGTATACTTGAGTTTTCTGTTCATGAGAGAATGTGTTAGACAGGGTTCTCTGGAGAAACAAAACCAGGACACTAATAAATTTATATATATATATTTATATAGATAGATAGATAACATAAATAAACAGTTAACTAATATATAAATCAGTACAAAGGCTCAGTGCAACTCACTGAGACAGTTGGTACACCAGCAGTCCTTCAAGTCTTGAGGACCGCAGGGTAGTCCTCTATGGAGCAATTCAGGCTATCCAGGCACAGGCAGCAAACAGCAAGAAAGTCACCAACAGTCCGCCAGATGACAGGGTCTGACAGGCCTCAGCTCAAGAGATGTACCTTCCAGCAGCGTGGTGAAGCAGGTCTTGAAGGAACCTCAAGTTACAGTGACACAGTCCACGGGTAGGCGTCACACAGATAGTGTAGCTTGCAAATGGAGGCACAGAACAAGCAAGGCAGCTGCACACTTGTCCAGTGATCAAAGCAAAAGAGTGAGAGGCGAGGCTTGCCAAGCTATTTATCTCTCCGCCCTTCAGCCAATCTCACGTGTGTTCATTGGCCATGTTGGCACAACAAACCTACTTATCATAGAGAATATCTTACAACCTGGTCCCTCACCCCTCAAAAAAATTGCTTTCAACTTATAATTTTTATCAAAAAGTATTCAAAGCAAATTTCCAGGAGTAAAGCAGCATGACTCCTTTAAAGGCAACTTTGTTCAGAAACGATAATCTTTTGGAGTTGGGACTTGTTATTTTTGCCAAGTATAATTGAGTCTGCTTTTAGAGTACTTGTGTACAACAAAACACTGCCTGGTCCTGCATCATCCTCACGAGTCCTTGTTATATTTGATCCCATTGTTGTAATCAATAGGTAATCTCACCGATGTTCTTCCTCTTTTTATCTGACCCCTACTTGACCAAGCATGATGCCTTTCTCCAGGGACTGGTCTCTCCTGACAAT